GTCAAGTAACGAAAGCTGTTAAGGTAGACGTTCTAACTATAGCTGAGTTCTTAAAGTTTTTATATTTTTGAGAATAGTTTTGAATTTAAAAACTTAAAAACACATCCCAAAAATTCAAAAATTGTCTTCCATTAATTCAAATCGAATAAAAAAAATCCTCGTAGAGAGAAAATACCAGTGACGAACTGTTTAAGGATAGATTTTATATTGAAATCTTTAAGAAACATTAGAAAAAAAAACATTTTTGGCGAAGAAAATCTTTATACATACATATAAACCATATATAAATATTGATATGGTACTTAGAAGAAAGTCTTAAAATCTAGAAAGCGTATATCAGTAAGTTCAAATAATTTGAAAAAAACACTTGAAACCTTTATTTTCCTGGCCAAGTTTAAAGCAAAATTAGCACCTTAGACCCTAATTGCCGTCTTAGACCAATTACCTTTGTTTCATTTTTTATTTAATGTTTTTGGCGCACTTTATACAGTTTTATTTTGCTTTGGTTTTGGCCAAATGGCAAAATGGCAACACCGTTTCACATCATCATCATTATATGGCCAATGACTAATGGGCCATGGTAGTCACAAGGCAGTCACAGCACAGTGTTTGAGCATCATGTAATGGCCAAAAGGCAGAAAAGAAAACGGCTAAAAAAAAATCACAAACAAAAGCGAAATGAAGAAAAGAAACTAAAAACAAAAATATTCAATTATGCAAGAGAGTTACAGTTACAGGGGAGTTTTTGGCCAACATTTTGTTGTTATTCCATGTTGTATTTCTTGTATTTTTTCACCCATTTTCTACTCGCTTTTATTTTGTGTTTCACTTCGCCGAACTGTAAATAAAGCGAAAGCGTAATTTTTTCGGTTAACATTTTCTGGCTAAAAACGGCCCAGCCAAGACATCGTGAAAATATTGCAATTGAGCCCGAGCCCGAGCCCGAGTAGACCGAGCGGCGAGTAAAAGCCAAAACCGATCCATATAAACAATAAATAATTGATTGCTTGACTGACGGACTACTGATTGATTGAGTCAGTGAGTGACGACAGTAATTGGCCAACTTCAATTCCAAATGCCCGAGAAGTTGGGGGGAACAGGTGCAAAGCGAAAAAAAAAAACGTAGGCATTTCACGGAAAAAAGTGAAAAAAGCTGTCAAATCAAACAGGTTAACAATTGCTATATTTGTTAAGTGGGCTGAAAAGTGGACCTAAAGTGGGCTCAACTGTCGATTCCCATTCGGATACGAATTTTGCTCTTAACTTGTCCAACAACCGCTTGCCAATTTTCTAGCTAGCTCTGTGTTCATTTTGCATGCGAAGCTATTTTTTCGCACGTTCCACTGTCACGGGTTTATGCGGCCTTCAAATTCATGATTCGACTGGGAAAATTGTGCACCAAATGGTGGGAAAAGTGGTGTGTAAAAATATGTTTAAAATATTGACAATGGTAGCATTTCTTAAGTTCTTTAACTTTGCAGGAGGAACAAAAATACTTGCTAGTGAAATGCATTGCGAGATCTGCTTTTCTAAAATTCAAAAAACTCACAAAATATAAAATGTTACCTGAGATTCTTATTTTAAAATATAAAAAAAGACATTAGAAACGTTTTGCGCCACACAAATAGGGTTTAAGATTCATTTTCAAGATTTATTTACTTTTAAATAAAAAACTAATAATCAGAGAATAATTTTTTTCAATATTTAAGAACCTCTTAAAACCAGGAAATTGAATTTAAATCTTGATCATTTTTTTTAAATTTATTGTTTACCAAAAATTTTTGGGTAAACTACTTGTTATACTACTAATAGCTTAAAACATTATTTTCCTTCACAAAAATCCCCCTTTCTTTTTTCCTGATTTTTATCAACTTCATGAAATCTAAAACCGCATAAACTTATCCCAAACTCTGGCAGGCTTTTTGTTTAATGGCCGAAAGGCATCAATCATACCAACAAGTTGAAAAAACTTTATTTTTATCCACTTGCCGACGCCATTTTGTTTAATGCCATTTTGACATGACAAGTATGTGTGTGTTGATGTGTGTGACTGTGTGTGTGTAAGTGTGAATGTCCTGGTGTCCATTAAAACGCTTTCAATTTAATGCCCAACTTGCTGTCATTTTTTTTTTCAACAGCCAACGGCAAGCAACGGCCAGAGCAGTAAAAGCCTCGGAAATATTATGGAATTGAATTGCTGCCAAAATGAAATTACAGAAGTTTGTGCTCCAACATCACAAATTGATAGTTTTCGGTCTAAATCGGACATAACCATTGGGTTTCGATGACTGCTCTTCCACATCTCTAATTGAGCGTTTCTCTTTAGATTGAAGGCCTCGCAAAGTGCCCGTAATGGCTGTAATCAAATAGTGGTTTCTTGGTGGGAGATCTTTTAGTGGTTTTCTTCCAACCATTTTGTCCAGAAGAGCGCTCTAAACTATGCAATTATCATAAATGAAAGGGAATAGAAAGAATATTTTTGTGGGAGTGGCGTTTAAATTCTCTTGATGGTTTTTTTTTGTGGGGAACGAAGTTATTGTACGAAGAATATTTTTAAATATTTGTGGATCTACATAATCACCATCATTCTGCCTCTAAATTTTTAGAAAATAGGCTTGTGAAGGGAGTTTTTGTAAAATATGAGATTTTTATGAATGTGACCCAATACTAGGTCTGTCTTTTTTGGTATTCTTTTCTGAATTTGAATAGTAACACCTTCAATATTTAGTGAATTGATCCATTACCTATAGGCATCGAAACCTGGGTATCTGAAACATTTTTTAGGCTTTTAGGCTTTTTTTTTAATTTTTGTTTGGGAATTCCCAGTGAAATATACGATTTTTCTATAGGATTTAAACCATATCCATACTTTGCCAGTTCTTATCTGATTTTCAAACAAGAAAGGAAAGCTAACTTCGGGCGGAGCCGAAGTTTATATACCCTTGCAGTTAAAACCGGATATATATCGCAAACATCGGATATAGTTGGCCGATCCTTATGGGAATAGGAATATATAAACCAATATTTTACAATACAAAATCTAAAAAAAATCCCAAACTTCTATCTTCAAAAATACGAAAGTTGATATTTCTACCAAGTACCATTTCCGATCGTTCAGTTATATGGCAGCTATAGGATATAGTCGGCCGATCCTAATGAAATTTGGTAGGTCGGATCAACTGACCAAATATATAATCTGTACCAAGTTCCAGCTTTCTATCTTCAAAAACACGAGTTGGGTCAAAGTAGGGTCATTTCCGATCGTTCAGTTATATGGCAGCTATAGGATATAGTCGGCCGATCCTTACGAAATTTGGCATGTCGTATTATTTTGCCAAATATAGCTCTCATGTCTCATGAACTCTCTAACTCTAAAAACACCAAAGTTATACCATTTCCGATCAATCAGTTATATGGCAGCTATAGGATATAGTCGGCCGATCCGGGCCGTTCCGACTTATATACTGCGTGCAAAGGAAAGAAGGGTGTGTGCAAAGTTTCAAGACGATAGCCTTAAAACTGAGAGACTAGTTTGCGTAGAAACAGACAGACGGACAGACAGACGGACAGACAGACGGACAGACGGACATGCTCATATCAACTCAGGAGGTGATCCTGATCAAGAATATATATACTTTATAGGGTCGGAGATGTCTCCTTCACTGCGTTGCACACTTTTGACCAAAATTATAATACCCTCTGCAAGGGTATAAAAATACGCTGGGAACTTAAATATTTTTAAAGTTGTTTTTGGTAGGTACTTATTTTAATTTCCACGTTAAAATTGCAAAGCATGTAGTATGATAAATAATTGTATTGTTTAATTACTTTTCAAGTAGAATACCCTTAAAATTTGTAGTTCAGCAAACCGTAATTCTGTTTCTGTAAAATGTAACAAATGCTCATTTAAAAACTTCACCTTCTATCTGAAAAGTCCAGTTTATTTAGCCGTCTGACAAGTGTCTTAATTTAATGCAATGCCATCCTGGCCTTAAGTCCTAGATTTAAGCCCGGTCTCCAGTGGCGGCGACTGCATTTCCGTCATTTTAATCCTTTAATGTCCTGGCCTAGCCTACCTCATCCCGCTACCGCGTCTGCCGCCTGTCGGGATGTGTGTTTGGCAGCATCTGTGTCCCTTCGCTAGTCAGATCCATTATTCCCTTTTTTTCGCCATTTTTTTGCATCATTTTCGCGGCAGTTTCAGCGGGGCGGTGTGCGCGGGGGAGGCCGGGAAAAGAACTCATTGTTTGCGGTGTTAATATTTGGCGTCTGGCACCAGCAGACAGCAGCAGGAGCAGTCGCAAGGACACAGAGAAAAACTAGGGAATTTTTAATATTTTTTAATGATTATTTTAGAGGTTATTTCCGTTATTTTAATAAATTTGTTTTTAGTTTTTTAAAAAATTAGGAAATTCTTGAAGATTATTAGGTTTTTATACCATATTTTCTCTCAGTGTATCAAGGGCTGAGGTGCAACAAGGACAACAAACATTGTTACCGTCATCACCCGCTTATAAAACGTGTATCTGTATCTGCAACTGCAGTTGTATCAGTATCTGCAGATGTATCTGTATCTGTGGCTACGGATGAAGCTGCCTCATCATCAATGACGTCATCAGTGGGGGCAGGCCGTGTGCCATTTAATAGTCACTCCCCTTAGATTTTACTGTTCGTTTGTTTGGTTGTTTGTCTCATTTTTTGTTGCAAAGTCATTGCACTTTTTGTGACTGAAAATAAAGGAAAATTGAATTAAAATGCAAATTCTACAAAGGAATACAATTTAAAAAAAATCACAAATAGAAAAAATGATATATTTTAAGAGGAAAATAAAAGAAAAATTATTATAGATATTTTTGGGAAAGAAATAAATAGTTTTTGCAAAGGTTTTCAATATTTCATATGTTGTTTCATAGTAATTATTAGTTATAATTTAACGAATACTTATACCTTCTCTAATTATTGACTATAATTTAATTAAATTTTTTAAATTATCCTTACAGGATGTCCGTTGTGCGGACTTAGCCATAAGCATACCCAACAACCCCGGCCTGGACGATGGCGCCTCCTATCGTCTGGACTACAGCCCGCCCTTTGGCTACCCGGAACCCAACACGACCATCGCCTCCAGGGATATCGGGGACGAGATCCAGTTTTCCAGAGCCCTACCCGGCACTAAATACAATTTCTGGCTCTACTACACCAACTTTACGCATCACGATTGGCTGACCTGGACGGTGACGATAACGACAGGTGAGTCTTCCCAAAAAAAAAAATAGAGAAGACTAGCACTTAATCCTTGTAAAAAGAAATTGTAACTAGATCGGCTTTAAAGGTTTCAAGTTCTTCAATTGAACTTTCTATTTGAAATACTTTGCCTTTGGCCTTGGTCCTTGAAATGGCTTCCATCTAATTGCCTTTTCCTGTCGGAGGAAACCAAATACGCTTCTTACATACATGTTGCAAGTGCCACAAATGGCTAATTGCAGTTTCGATAGCCCCCAGCTCCCTCCTCTCTTCCGGCTAATGAGCAAATCCCTTAGTAAGTAACGAAATCAATCAGACAGCGAAACAAGTTTTTCGGTTTCCTGCAGGAGGGCAGGAGGGCAGAAAAGGTTTTCGAACTTCTCGATGGGGTAGAACATGTCCTGTCCCGGCTGTCTGCTGGGTGGATACTTGAGGGCTTTGGGGAGTGTCTGGCCTAGTCTGTCTACAGTGGCAGAAAAATTAATGTCTATGTATGGATGGTATAGTATGGTATCTTAGTATAGTAGTAGTATGGAAACTAAAAAATGGCAACTTTGTTAATTTTATTATATTTTTTTTAAGAAATTGTAACGAAGAATCCTTTAAATTTAATAATCAAACTGTGGAAAAACATTTCAAACTCTTTAATATATACATTTGAAATATATAAACAGTATAGCAAGTAGTTCGTCACCTTGCTGGACTATCATCCACACAGAAGATCCACACAGAAGAGTTTAGATTCTCTAATTCAGAATTCGGAAGAGTTTAGATTTTAGAAACAAACTAGATTTATTTCTTATGGAAAATCTTATTATTTACTAGTTAAGTAAATAATAAGATGGCGTTCAGTTCGTCACCTTCCTGAACTAACGTTTCTAATGGAGATTTTGAAAACTAAAAAGAATTTAGGAAAATTTAAGAAAACAAAATTAAGAACTGAGTAAACTAACGTAATGGAATATTTAGTGGAGAACCTAAAATAAAAACAACACATGTTAAACTTTTTAATATGTAATATTTTTCAATAATTAACATCATGGTTCGTCACCTTCCTTGACCACCGTCAATACTCATTCAGAAAATTCTTTTATTTTAGAATTTTACAAACTGTAGATTTTTTATGAGAGAAAAAACTAATAAGCTTAAACTAATAAAACTTATAACTAAAAACTAACAATACAGTTTTTGTGAACTTTCTAATGTTTATTTTTTAAATATAAAAAAAAAGGCGTGCGGTTCGTCACCTTCCAGAACTACCTACAGTGATACAATAACAGACTTCGAATTTTAGAAACAAACTTAAGATTTTCTCTGCTTAAATAAGCTGAATATAATCTTTAAAAACAGAAACTAAAATCTCAAAACCTTATACAATCTTTAATATTAATTTATTAAATATTAAAGTACTAGATTTTCTTCCAGTTATAGAAAACAAACTTGCCAACAAGGGAGAAAATTTCTGCCAACACCTGAGAAAATGTCAGACTGGAGATAGTGGCCAACACGAAGGGTGTGGGGCTTACTAAACTCGGTCTAAATTAGGGGGAAAACACCAAAAGCATCAAAAAGAAAAACACGAAGAGGGCGTTGAGGGCCGAGAGCATAGTAGTCAGTCTATGCCTATAAATTACCCAAGGGTCTAGTTTTTGGGAATTAATGCAAGTGGCCACGCACCAAAGAAAGAAAAAAGGGGGCCAGGAAAAGCGTTACTTTTACGAGTTTTCCTCTCCTCTCCCAAGTATGAGGAAAATGCTGTCGAGTTATTATTGCCAACACATTTTCACAGAAATTCCGCATAGTTAGGTGGGTTTTGTTTATGCGGAATGTCTTGTGGCTATTTCTACTTAATCTTTATCTTTATCGCTCTTTCCGCTAACCAATAAATGCCGAATGGCCCAAACGAAGAAAGTGAACACCGATTTCAAAGCCAAATAAACACAGACAAAGGCAAAAGCCAAAAAAAAAGACAATCCAAAGACACAAACAAAAGCAATAACCAAAAATCAAAAACCAGTCATAGAAACCACTTTTACTTTGAAAACCAAACGGGAATTTGTGTGGCTAAAAGTTAGTGCTGGTGAGGGGTGGGGAGTCAAGGAGATAAGAGGTAATATACTCAAAATATATAAGAAATATAGATAAAGGGGAGATATAGTTGGGGAGTCAGGAAGCATCGGTGGTTCAGTGGTAGAATGCTCGCCTGCCACGCGGGCGGCCCGGGTTCGATTCCCGGCCGATGCAATATCACTTTTTTTTCTATTTTTATTTAAATATTTGTAAATATTATATTTTAAATACTATACTGTACTATCATGAATAATATTTTGTAGGAGGATTTTGAGGCAGAGAGATTACTATTGTTTTAAAACCTAAGAAATCAAAAATATTAAAACCTAATGACAAAAAAAAATAATATACCTTAATTTTAAAAATTTAAATCCCTTAATCAAGTCTCCTAATGTGAACTTTAAATTTAAACAATTAATAATAATTACAAAATACGATAATAGCACCCTTCTCCACGCTTCTCATAAAGTTTACTTAGGAATAAAATTTAAATATAATTATTGCTAAAAATATGAAAAAAATTTATAAAAATCCCCTCTATCTACTTTCAGCTCCCGATCCACCCTCGAACCTTTCAGTACAGGTGCGCAGCGGCAAGAATGCCATTATACTGTGGTCCCCGCCCACCCAGGGCAGCTACACGGCGTTCAAGATCAAGGTATTGGGCCTGTCGGAGGCCTCCAGCGCGTACAACCGCACCTTCCAGGTGAACGACAACCAGCTGCAGCACAGCGTCAAGGAGCTGACGCCCGGTGCCACCTACCAGGTCCAGGCCTACACCATCTACGACGGCAAGGAGTCGGTGGCCTACACCAGTCGCAACTTTACCACAAGTGAGTCAGCCCTGTCCAGGCAGAGTCCTTATCTTTTTTGTGTTTTTTGTTCGACTACCCACGGTGATGGTAACTAAACTTGATTAACTTCTGTGTCTCCCGCTTCTAATGTCACTAAACACAAAACTTAAACACAAATTAATACGAAAAGGTCGGAGGACGCGGCACAAAGAGCTGCTGGACATAAAAATCTTGAGAGGTAATAACTAAGCTGGTAACTGGTTCTTTTTCTAACCATCTGTAGTGTGTAGACCGAAAGCCACCTTTCGCTTAACAATTCACTTTTTGTTTTTAGTTTAGACCACAGACCCACCCCTCTTCTGGCACAGACATTCCGCAATTCGTTTCTTATCCGGCAATTGCCAACCGCATGGCACTTTCAGTTCGCACGGATGTGGTCCTGCTCCGGGCAGTGGTTTCTCTCCTCTGGCCATCGGGAGCACATCCCTGCAACTCAGCCATATGCATGTTTAGCCACAACAAGGCAACCGTAGCACAAATAACACTGGTCCCTTTGTAAAAAGAATGCATGTCCTGGGATGTGTTTGACTTAGAATCCTTGGAATCCATAAAAAGCTACGAAAATACATAGATACCTGGTGCTTGGTTGAAATGATATTTTGTTTGCTAACTTTTTTAGTTTAAATCCCTAAAAACTATATACTCGATACTTTGATTTATGAACTTTTTGTTCATATATTATTAACTTAACTTAATTAATATATTGCTTATCTATAAACAATTTACTATTACTAATTTACTAATACAAAAAACTGTACCTGATGCTAAAAATTGGGTAATTTTGAATTTAGTTTCTTAGAATCTTTCTCTTTTCTTAAACGAAGCCCGGCAAAAGATACCCGATACTCGTTTGAAATAGTCTTTGATTTATGAGCTTTTTATTTGACTAAGTTCATATCTGGGTCAATATTTGTCCGATTCTTGAGCGGGGTACCTTAAAAGACTCGTAGATCTATTCTCTTCAAATCTGCATCAAAATATAGAAACAACATTTTGGACCCCATTTTTTCAAATTTTTCTAGGGGACCCTCTTCAAAAATGGGAAAATCGTGGGGAGTGAAATTTGGACCCATTGCGGAGGTCATATCTTGGTCAATATTTGTCCGATTCTTGAGCGGGGTACCTTAAAAGACTCGTAGATCTATTCTCTTCAAATCTGCATCAAAATATAGAAACAAAATTTTGGACCCCATTTTTTCAAATTTTTCTAGGGGACCCTCTTCAAAAATGGGAAAATCGTGGGGAGTGAAATTTGGACCCATTGCGGAGGTCATATCTTGGTCAATATTTGTCCGATTCTTGAGCGGGGTACCTTAAAAGACTCGTAGATCTATTCTCTTCAAATCTGCATCAAAATATAGAAACAAAATTTTGGACCCCATTTTTTCAAATTTTTCTAGGGGACCCTCTTCAAAAATGGGAAAATCGTGGGGAGTGAAATTTGGACCCATTGCGGAGGTCATATCTTGGTCAATATTTATCCGATTATTAAACGGAATACCGTTAAAGACTCGTAGATCTATTCTCTACAAATCTGCATCAAAATATAGAAACAACACTTTGGACCCCATTTTTTCAAATTTTTCTAGGGGACCCTCTTCAAAAATAGGAAAATCGTGGGGAGTGAAATTTTGACCCATTGCGGAGGTCATATCTTGGTCAATATTTGTCCGATTCTTGAGCGGGGTACCTTGAAAGACTCGTAGATCTATTCTCTACAAATCTGCATCAAAAGAAAGACACAAAATTTTGGACCTCGTTTTTTCAAATTTTTCTAGGGGACCCCCTTCAAAAATGGGAAAATCGTGGGGAGTGAAATTTGGACCCATTGCGGAGGTCATATCTTGGTCAATATTTGTCCGATTCTTGAGCGGGGTACCTTAAAAGACTCGTAGATCTATTCTCTTCAAATCTGCATCAAAATATAGAAACAAAATTTTGGACCCCATTTTTTCAAATTTTTCTAGGGGACTCCCTTCAACTCGGACGTTGTTAACTTTAAGGCGCCCCAACAATAGACTCCCAGTACTAAAATAACATTTAATGATTTATAGGCTCTTAAGTTTTTATTATTTCCCTATTTTTATCATTTGTTTTTCATAAAAAGGCCCCTATAATAGATACCCGGTACTTGGCAATACAAATTCCTTGATTTATGACCTTTTCAGTTTACTAACATACTTTCTATATTATATTTCCAAGCTTATGACCAAATTATCTTTAAAAACCCAGCACAATTTATACTATTTTAATAAAAATACACAAAAAAACACCCTCCCACACACAAAACCTAACCCTATAACCCCTATAGCCCCCCCAACCCTTGGAGAACTCCAACCACCCCTAACATTTCTGTACAAACTCCCAACTCTGACCTCGAAACTCCAGAACAATGAATGCCCACAAGAAACTAATCCAAAGCAAACTTTTTCATTTGTGCTCCAAATTTGCAATCCGGAATCCGCCAACCGTAGAGCCCAATACTCCGGGGAAATTCATCGTCTGGTTCCGTAATGAGACGACGCTGCTGGTGCTCTGGCAGCCGCCGTATCCGGCCGGGATCTATACCCACTACAAGGTCTCCATCGAGCCGCCCGACGCCAACGACAGTGTCCTGTACGTGGAGAAGGAGGGCGAACCGCCCGGGCCGGCACAGGCGGCTTTCAAGGGCCTGGTCCCGGGCAGGGCGTACAACATATCCGTGCAGACCATGTCCGAGGATGAGATATCGCTGCCGACCACGGCTCAATACCGAACGGTGCCGCTGCGACCCCTGAACGTGACCTTCGACCGGGATCACATCACGTCGAACTCGTTCCGGGTGCTGTGGGAGGCGCCGAAGGGCATCTCCGAGTTCGACAAGTACCAGGTATCGGTGGCCACCACCAGACGGCAATCGACAGTACCGCGCAGCAATGAGCCGGTGGCTTTTTTTGACTTCCGTGACATTGCCGAACCGGGCAAAACCTTCAATGTGATCGTGAAAACGGTCTCCGGCAAGGTCACCTCGTGGCCAGCCACCGGCGATGTCACGCTGCGACCCCTGCCCGTCCGCAATCTGAGGAGCATCAACGATGACAAGACCAACACGATGGTGATTACCTGGGAGGCGGATCCGGCCAGTACGCAGGATGAGTACCGCATTGTGTGAGTATTATAGTTGGGATGACCCCAATATATCCGATATTTGATATATAGAATCCTGTCAAATAATATCCATTTTTTTAATAGATACCACGAACTGGAGACCTTTAATGGCGACACTAGCACCTTGACCACCGAACGCACCCGTTACAACCTGGAGAGCCTACTGCCCGGCAGGAACTACTCCCTGTCCGTCCAGGCCGTGTCCAAGAAGATGGAATCTAACGAGACCAGCATCTTTGTGGTTACCCGACCCTCGTCCCCCATCATCGAGGACCTGAAGAGCATCCGGATGGGCCTGAACATCAGCTGGAAGAGCGACGTCAACTCCAAGCAGGAGCAGTACGAGGTCCTGTACTCCCGCAACGGCACCAGCGAGGTGCGCACTCTGATCACCAAGGAGTCGCGTTTGGTGATCAAGAACCTCCAGCCCGGCGCCGGCTACGAGGTGAAGGTCTTCGCCGTGAGCCATGACCTGAGGAGCGAGCCACACGCCTACTTGCAGGCAGTTTGTGAGTGTTTCCACGAAGACTCCCCCAAATCCCATCCAGAACTAATGGTAATCCAATCCTGAACAGATCCCAATCCCCCTCGCAACATGACCATTGAAACGGTGAGGAGCAACTCCGTGCTTGTCCACTGGTCACCGCCGGAGAGCGGCGAGTTCACGGAGTACTCCATCCGGTACCGCACGGACAGCGAGCAGCAGTGGGTGCGCCTGCCCAGCGTCCGTTCCACGGAGGCCGACATCACGGACATGACCAAGGGCGAGAAGTACACCATCCAGGTGAACACGGTCAGCTTCGGGGTGGAGAGCCCCGTCCCCCAGGAGGTGAACACCACGGTGCCCCCGAACCCCGTCTCCAATATCATTCAGCTGGTGGACTCGCGGAACATCACCCTGGAGTGGCCCAAGCCGGAGGGCAGGGTGGAGTCCTACATCCTCAAGTGGTGGCCCAGCGACAATCCTGGACGGGTTCAGACCAAGAATGTCTCGGAGAACAAGTCGGGTAGGTCTTCCTGATAGCCTCTTCTGATCCTTTTCTAATCCCTTATCCTACCACTAGCGGATGACTTGTCCACCGTGCGGGTCCTGATCGGAGAACTCATGCCCGGAGTCCAGTACAAGTTCGATATCCAGACCACCTCGTACGGCATCCTCTCGGGCATCACCAGCCTGTACCCGCGCACCATGCCGCTCATCCAGTCGGACGTGGTGGTGGCCAACGGCGAGAAGGAGGACGAGCGGGACACCATCACCCTGAGCTACACGCCCACGCCCCAGTCCTCCTCCAAGTTCGACATCTATCGGTTCTCGCTGGGCGACGCCGAGATCCGGGACAAGGAGAAGCTGGCCAACGACACGGACCGCAAGGTGACGTTCACGGGCCTGGTGCCCGGAAGGCTGTACAACATAACGGTGTGGACGGTGAGCGGGGGTGTGGCCAGTCTGCCGATCCAGCGCCAGGACCGCCTCTACCCGGAGCCGATCACCCAGCTGCACGCCACCAACATCACGGACACGGAGATCTCGCTGCGCTGGGACCTGCCCAAGGGCGAGTACAACGACTTCGACATCGCCTACCTAACGGCGGACAACCTGCTGGCCACCAACATGACCACCCGGAACGAGATCACCATCAGCGACCTGCGGCCGCACAGGAACTACACCTTCACCGTGGTGGTGCGCTCCGGCACCGAGTCCTCCGTGCTGCGCAGCAGCTCCCCGCTTTCCGCCAGCTTCACCACCAACGAGGCGGTGCCCGGCCGGGTGGAGCGTTTCCACCCGACCGACGTCCAGCCCAGCGAGATCAACTTCGAGTGGTCGCTGCCCTCCAGCGAGGCCAACGGCGTGATCCGCCAGTTCTCCATCGCGTACACGAACATCAACAACCTGACGGATGCCGGCATGCAGGACTTCGACTCGGAGGAGTCCTTCGGCCTGATCAAGAACCTCAAGCCCGGCGAGACGTACGTCTTCAAGATTCAGGCCAAGACGGCCATCGGGTTCGGGCCGGAGCGGGAGTACCGCCAGACCATGCCTATCCTGGCGCCGCCACGGCCCGCCACCCAGGTGGTGCCCACGGAGGTGTACCGTAGCTCCTCGACCATCCAGATCCGCTTCCGCAAGAACTACTTCTCCGACCAGAACGGCCAGGTGAGGATGTATACGATCATTGTGGCGGAGGACGACGCCAAGAACGCCTCGGGCCTGGAGATGCCCAGCTGGCACGACGTCCAGTCGTACAGCGTCTGGCTGCCGTACCAGGCCATCGATCCCTACTACCCGTTCGACAACCGCTCCGTGGAAGACTTCACCATCGGCACGGAGAACTGCGACAACCACAAGATTGGCTACTGCAACGGCCCCCTCAAGTCGGGCACCACCTACAGGGTGAAGGTGCGGGCCTTCACCGGGCCGGACAAGTTTACGGACACGGCCTACAGCTTCCCCATCCAGACAGGTGAGTGTGGGTCTTGGTGCCCCGAGACCTTGGGTATTGGTCTCACCTATGTATGCATCCTGCGCACCAAACTAACTCGAAACATCTCCCATCCTAACCATGTCTTGCATTTTGTTCAGAACTCCTGAGTTCTCCCGGTAAGGAATCCTTCATGGCTTTATCACGGCTTTGTCCTTTGTTAGTTAGTTACTTCCATTATTAACCCATCCTTGTAATCCTTGACAGATCAAGACAACACCTCGCTGATCGTGGCCATCACAGTGCCCCTGACGATCATCCTGGTACTGCTGGTGAGCCTGCTGTTCTACAAGAGGCGGCGGAACAACTGCCGCAAGACCACCAAGGACTCGCGGGCCAACGACAACATGTCCCTGCCGGACAGCGTCATTGAGCAGAACCGCCCGATCCTGATCAAGAACTTTGCCGAGCACTACCGCCTCATGTCCGCCGACTCGGACTTCCGGTTCAGCGAGGAGTTCGAGGAGCTGAAGCACGTGGGCCGGGACCAGCCCTGCACCTTTGCGGACCTGCCCTGCAACCGGCCGAAGAACCGCTTCACCAACATCCTGCCCTACGATCACTCGCGCTTCAAGCTCCAGCCGGTCGACGACGACGAGGGCAGCGACTACATCAACGCCAACTACGTGCCCGGCCACAACTCGCCCCGCGAGTTCATCGTCACCCAGGGACCGCTCCACTCCACCCGGGACGACTTCTGGCGGATGTGCTGGGAGAGCAACTCGCGGGCCATCGTCATGCTGACGCGGTGCTTCGAGAAGGGCCGCGAGAAGTGCGACCAATACTGGCCCAACGACACCGTGCCGGTCTTCTACGGCGACATCAAGGTGCAGATCCTGAACGATAGTCACTACGCCGACTGGGTCATGACCGAGTTTATGCTGTGCAGGGTAAGTCCTCCCTCCCTAATGGGGTGTCCTGATATCCCTTCTTAATCCTTTCTTTATTCCCGAAACAGGGCAGTGAACAGCGCATCCTGCGGCACTTCCACTTTACCACCTGGCCGGACTTTGGAGTCCCGAATCCACCGCAGACCCTCGTCCGGTTCGTGAGGGCCTTCAGGGACCGCATCGGAGCCGAGCAGCGACCCATTGTGGTCCACTGCAGTGCCGGCGTGGGCAGGTCGGGCACCTTCATCACCCTGGACCGCATTCTGCAGCAGATCAACACGTCGGACTACGTGGACATATTCGGCATTGTCTATGCCATGCGAAAGGGTGAGACCACGTCTTTCTTTAGATCTTTGCGAAAAGATTCTGAAAGTCAAGAATTGGGTACTGAAGGGTTATCTAGTGAAGGGTTATCTAGTGCTGCTCTTGGAGTAGACTTTCTGGGAGGCAATGAAGTCTAAGAGTACTGGGTACCATTTAGTCCCCAAGTACAGGTTATACATAGTTAAAAACTAACTTATTCCTCCCCTTTCAGAGCGCGTTTGGATGGTGCAGACGGAGCAGCAGTACATCTGTATACACCAGTGCCTGCTGGCGGTGCTGGAGGGCAAGGAGAACATCGTGGGCCCAGCCCGGGAGATGCACGACAACGAGGGCTATGAAGGTAGGTAGTCCACGCGGTAGTCCTGATCCGAATCCCGACAATCCGTTCCGCTTACTGACTCTAACTGACTAACCCCAAGGAGCTCCAAGAACAGCAGCCACTCTGTTGCCTTCCTTTTCCTTTATTTACTTATCGATTCTATTTTTGTGGTTTATTTTCATTAAAACTTGATACTTATGTGGTGAAGGGTGACTAACCAATAGAACCGATATTTTCTTTTAAAAAACAAACACAAAATCCATGAAACACAAAGGCCAACAAGGACATCTGGACGAGAACGGAGACATCGTGGCCACCATTGAGGGTCACATGTCGCACCACGACCTGCAGCAGGCCGAGGCGGAGGCCATTGACGACGAGAACGCGGCGATCCTGCACGACGACCAGCAGCCGCTCACCAGCAGCTTCAGCGGCCACCACAACCACCTGCCGCCGACCACCTCGATGAGCTCCTTCGGGGGAGCCGGTGGCGGCGGGCACACGGTGGACGCACCGGACAGATGACATTCGGTTGTCAACCAGAGCGATAACAACAACTCGGTGGTTATCGTCCTGGTTGACAACAAGCCCAGCTCGATGATCTGCAAGGACGGCAAGAGCCACATCGACATGGAGGGCGTCATCCTACCGAACGGTAGCTCATCCAACTCGTCCACCGGCGTCATCGCCACCAACGGCTACAACACGCTCCAGCACCGACGCAAGTCCCAGCTGATCACCTTCAGCTCATCGTCCTGTGATATCAAGAACAGTCTCAGCCACGAGCATATATCAGCCAACGGAGGAGTGGGCACCGCCACCGGAGGATCGGGCAGCAATCGCACTAGTCGCGCCAACGTCAGGCTCAGCTTCGCCGAGGAGGACGTGATGATCCAGCCCTCGCAGGCCGATCAGGAGGCCGAGGAGGAGGTCTTTGTGCGACGCCGGTCACTCCTCGAGGTGGAGCTGGGCGTGGAGGTGGGCGAGGAGGGCGAACTGGTGCCCCAGGAGCTGGACGAGGACCTGGAGGAGGAGGATGAGGACGAGGAGGATGAGATAGTGGTGGAGCACGACGACGAGGATGTGGAGCTGTACATGCATGACGTCGAATTCGAAACGCATATCGACACCAAGTCCAACAACGCCAACGACGACAGTGGCGGCGGCAGCTACGAGGACTCCCACGCCCTCCACTCCTCGCTGGGCGGCAGCAACCGGAACAGCCTGGAGAAGGACGACGACGACATCGAGGTGGACGTCATTAGCACCGACGTCAGCTGCTACGACCAGCTCCTCGGCAGCAGCTGCAACACCCGCAACGGGGACGACGACGACATCGCCACTCTGGTGGGCGACGGCGACTCCAACTATGCCACCACCAAGCTCTGCAAAGGATTCGCCGGGGGAGGCGGTGGCGGCCTGGCCGTGGCTGGAGCTGGCTTGGGCGTGGCCGGAGCAGGCACTGGCCTGAACGGTGGTGGTGTTTTGGGCAATGGTGTTGGTTCCGAGACCGCTGGCGGCGGCATCATCTATGCCAATCCGTTCATGGGTTTGTAGACGCTTTCCATAAAGGGCTTCTAGTGTATTTTGGGACTAGGTTTTGGCTAATACTCTGATCAGGTTTTAGGTTTAAAAATGGAAGGAACTTTTTTTAGGAACTCTTTTTAAACCTTATAGCTTGGAGTAGCTTTAAAGAAATAGACATGGATAGATTGTCTACCAATCTGCATCGAAACCTACAAAGAACCTTCTTCAGAAGAGCTTTGAAAACTTTTCTAAAGAACCCTTTCATTGCTAACTATAAAGATTATATTTTTGACCTCAAGCTATGGCTATATACTGGATAGTCTATTCTATATCTTCTAAACCTCAAACTATTTGTAGACTCATTCCAACTTCATTTATATCTTAAGAATCCTCAAATCACGTTCAAAAATTGAGATAGATTGAGTTTAGGAATTAGAATTTCTATCTTGATTCGTAGAATCCATTTCCATCAATCTTCTTTAGAACCTTATAATATCGATTTGGGTTTGTTCTTAATTTTCTGGGGAATCCCTTTTAAATATTTCGATCGATACAGATTGAAACCTTGAGCTTTCATGGAGGCTATATCTTGGGCTTGAAGCTCTATGTCTCAGCCGATTAAAATAAAAATCTAAAGTGGAGTACCTCCGAGGAAGTAATGGACCTCCCATTAAACCTCAAATATAAAAGTTTTCCCTGGGGGAATTCCATTCAAAAATTGAAGCTAACATGGAGGTTGAAAATTTAACCACTCGAGAAGTCGGTAGGGTTTTCTACCCATCTCTATTAAAACCCCAAAAAAGAGTTTAGTTCTTCAATTTTAAAATTTATTGGGAGAATCTCCTTTAAAACTTACGATTAGGAAGACTATATATCCACCAATTTGGATATAAATCTAAATTAGAAAACCTTAAACAATAGATGTTTTTATTTCCAAGCCATCTGAATCGAAAATTCCATAAGAAAATAGTGTTATACACCTTTATAAGTGAGGGCCCTAGTCTCTCCATAGAAAGCCTTGAAGCTAACAAATTCTACAGAGCTATGGCCAGTTCCGAAACTAAAATACACTATAGCCCACCTCCTAGATATTGTGAACATATCCTGATGTATATTCTTTTCAACCTGCATGATTGTTTTGTTTATTCCATTTATGGTTTTATTTATGCATGTTTTTAAAAGTTTTAGATTAAATGTAAATTTTATTTAACCCTGCATGTGTGCCGTGCCGAAAACCCCTAAGAATCTCATAAAACTAATTGATATATTTTATATATCTTACAGATGACGAGGGTATAGCTGAATCGGGCATGTAAGACAGCCAATTCCAGACAGAAAACTATATTCCAGTCCCTCATAAAGGCCCGAAACAAAGCCCCCCCCAATCCCAATCCCAACTCAACCGAATGGAACCGAACCCAACCAACTTGTGTGGCAAAACTACATTATTATTTACTTAAGTGACGATGGGAAGACGCTTGATATTATACTTGGATATATATATATACATGTACCATATACTCTCCACACCGATCTATCGAATGGGAATGCAGCAATCTCGCCAAACAGAACGAACACGCAACAATATATGTGGGAGTCTGGTCTGGGCCAGGGTCTGAACCTGGCCCCAGGACCTCTGACATGTAATCGCTTGGAGATACTGGACACTGGATACTGATTGTATTTTTACGCTAGCCACAATTTGATATAAACTATATATCTTCCAATTTTTTTGTACACTTAATGTTAGTTGAAATATGTGAAGCGAGACGAGCAAATTTTTGTAGCAAACTAAAGCGCTAAATGTTTACTTTTTTATATAATATTATATATGTACGCGTATATATATATATATAAATACGATAAACATATACCTAATATTAGACATAAACTAAAACTAACTATTAAATCGCACACACACTCACCCCCACATACACTGAACGCAATAATTGAGTTACATAGTTTTAAAAAACGGATAAAAATTAAAAAAGAATTAATGTTGAAACATTTTTTCTGATAGAGTGTTGTTGCCTTCCAGCCCTTCAACATGTAGTATAAATTTTTGTAATCATACCCACTTGTCCCCCTTATTGTTTATATAATTTTTATGATTCTTATCGAGTGTGTAAACTATTTAGTGTATGTATGTGCTACATTCAATTTGTTTAATTATATACATCAAATTTTATTTGAAACCCGATTCGAACCGTCATTTTGCTTTCTCCTCATTTTAATTTTTAGCCTTCACACGCCATTAAAACACGAAAAACACTTGAAATGAAGCAGCTACTGTTTGCTATTTTTGCGCAGACTGTTCAATTGCACAAGACGCAAGGATACGCAAGGACTCTACATAATCACAACAAAAAAAACAAAAACAAAAACAAAATCAAAGGTATTTCTAAGACACCCATGTTAATGTTAAAGTAAAAGAAACTTCCAAAAAAAGACACAGACTTGTAGACAACAAGTTGGGTTTTTAGTTTTGCTTCAAAGGGCTATAGGGTTTTTTTTTAAATATATGAACTGTTTTGGACAAAGTCCAAATGGAGTCAGAAAACTAAGACCTTTGAAAGCGGAAATAAAAATTCAACTAACCAACAGACAGCACAAAAGAACAACTGGAACAAATGACCAACGCATTTTTGTAAGGCGGATAATCATTTACACAAACAATAACAAATCCCACGAAGAGTAAAAACATAGACTAACTAAAATCGATTAAAGGGCTAATTAAAGGATTAGCTGGTGCCAAAGTAAACTCACACACACAAACACGCTAAGTGTAACAATAGCGATTAAATTAAAAAAAAAAAAAACGAACTGTAGTCAAAATAATTTGCATACACCTTTTGTTTAATATTTGTCCAAGAACTTAGTTGAATTAACTTAAACTGTGAAAGAGTGCAATAGATATCGTTTTGCTTCTAAATTAGAAAGGAAAAATAACAAAATACAACGAACCCCAGCCCCGATTCGAACCCGCAACTTACACACAATCCTCTCTTAAATAAAAAATGCGAAATTAAGTGAAGACGAAGCAAAATATCAACTAGAAGTCTGTATAATGCATATATAACTTAAAATTAATAAAAATATAAATAATTTAATGTGAAATTTAAATGGATCTTTGTTTCCGGCATGGTTGGGTTAAAAGCTCCAGGAGATATTTAAAGTTGGCGCCACAACACCCTGTTGAGTAATTTCAGTGTGACCAAACGTAAAATCGATACACGATATTTTGGGACAAATAATCGATAGTTCGATATGTGCAAATATTTTCGATATATCCCTGGAATACTTCGATGAAATCGAAGCCGCATTGTAAAATTGCAATAATTTCCATATTGAGGCGCTAAAAATTATCGGTTAAAGATTTCCACGGAACAAGGCAATATCTGCCTTAGACCCGACTGAATCAGGAGACCCAAGCGGTGTGCGCGTTGAGAGAGGAGCATACGTTAAGCGAGTGTCCGAAACGCCGGCAAATTGCTGGGACGAGACAACAACAATAGAAAATCGCAATGACGTCGGCAAGAGATTTGATAAAAATTGATATAGTAAGTGGGTTTTGTTAATGCGAAGAGCAGTGGATCTAATACTTGCTTCCTCAACAGGAATGGGGCATGGAGCGGCTGGTCAGGGCCCAACAGGTTGTGGAACTGCGGCCGTATGACATCGAGTCGTGGTCGGTGATGCTCCGCGAGGCCCAAACTCGACCCATACACGAGGTGCGCAGTCTGTACGAGTCTCTGGTTAATGTATTCCCCACCACGGCCCGCTACTGGAAGCTCTACATCGAGATGGAGATGCGGAGTAGGTACTATGAGCGCGTGGAGAAGCTCTTCCAGCGTTGCCTGGTCAAGATTCTCAACATTGACCTGTGGAAGCTATATCTTACCTATGTCAAGGACACCAAGTCAGGGCTAAGCACGCACAAGTGAGTAGCAAGGCTGCGAGATGGGAAAAACCATTAAATAATGGAATATTTTTTGGGTTTTTTCAGGGAAAAGATGGCTCAGGCCTATGATTTTGCTCTGGAGAAGATTGGCATGGACCTGCACTCGTTCAGCATTTGGCAAGACTATATTTACTTTCTGCGCGGCGTAGAGGCCGTCGGAAACTACGCAGAAAACCAAAAAATAACCGCTGTTCGGAGAGTCTACCAGAAGGCGGTCGTCACGCCAATTGTGGGCATTGAACAGCTGTGGAAGGATTACATAGCCTTTGAGCAGAACATAAATCCCATCATATCCGAAAAGATGAGTCTGGAGAGGTCCAAGTAAGTCGAAGAATCCATCCGAGGAGGGCGCTGTTGAACTTATGCAAATTTCCGCCAGGGACTACATGAATGCCCGACGGGTGGCAAAGGAACTGGAATACCACACCAAGGGGCTGAATCGAAACCTGCCCGCTGTACCGCCCACCCTCACCAAAGAAGAGATCAAGCAGGTGGAGCTCTGGAAACGATTCATCACGTACGAGAAGTCCAATCCGCTGCGCACCGAGGATACGGCGCTGGTGACGCGTCGCGTCATGTTCGCCACGGAGCAGTGCCTGCTGGTCTTGACCCACCATCCGGCAGTGTGGCATCAGGCCTCCCAGTTCCTGGATACCAGTGCCCGCGTCCTCACCGAGAAAGGCGTGCGTAGTAGTGTTTCTGTGATCCAGCGATCCTGTAGTGAAGCAAATAGAATGGATTTTGGCATCTGCTCTCCTCGCCAACCCACATGCGGGGGGCACAAGCCAAAATCAAAAACGAAATCAAACCTAGTCTTCTGTTTGCCATGAAGTGCCGCCGCTTGGGTAAAAGGATACGCTGACGGGTGCAACAGCTTGTCTTTCAGGTCTCAGCTTGTTCTTTTGCCCTCGTCCCGGCCGCACGTGTTTTACTTACTTTAGTTAAGTCGTGTGCAATAATCCTTGACGGCAGACTAATTAGTGTTTTGTAATTCGCTTCCACAGGATGTCCAAGCGGCCAAGATATTCGCCGACGAGTGCGCCAATATCCTGGAGCGTTCCATCAACGGAGTGCTCAACCGGAATGCACTGCTCTACTTTGCCTACGCCGACTTCGAGGAGGGCCGACTGAAGTACGAAAAGGTCCACACGATGTACAACAAGCTGCTCCAGCTTCCGGATATTGATCCCACACTGGTAAGAGTCCAACTCTATTCTTGAAACCAAAGGATGTAATGCAATATCCTGCTCTTCAGGTCTATGTACAGTACATGAAGTTCGCCCGGCGCGCCGAGGGCATCAAGTCTGCTCGCGGCATTTTCAAAAAGGCTCGCGAGGACGTCCGGTCGCGGTATCACATCTTCGTGGCCGCCGCCCTCATGGAGTACTACTGCTCCAAGGACAAGGAGATCGCCTTCCGCATCTTCGAACTGGGCCTGAAGCGATTCGGCGGCAGTCCGGAGTATGTGATGTGCTACATCGATTACTTGTCGCATCTGAACGAGGACAACAACACGCGCGTCCTGTTCGAACGGGTCCTCAGCTCCGGCGGCCTGTCGCCGCACAAGAGTGTTGAGGTTTGGAACCGGTTCCTGGAGTTCGAGTCCAATATCGGAGATCTATCGAGTATTGTGAAGGTGGAACGTCGTCGCAGTGCTATCTTCGAAAATGTGGGTTCTCCCCTCCATCTATTATCCTTTGAATTCTATAGTTTATGCTTGTATTTTGCAGCTTAAAGAGTATGAAGGCAAGGAAACGGCCCAGTTGGTGGACCGATACAAGTTCCTGGACCTCTACCCCTGCACCAGCACAGAGCTCAAGTCCATAGGCTATGCTGAGGTGAGTATTCCACTATTCTAGCCTCTTTATCTTTTAAATTCCATCTCTTTTTTTGTTCAGAATATTGGTATTATCCTGAACAAGGTGAGCGGCGGTTCCCAAAGCCAAAACAATGGCGACGCGGAGGCTGACAGCGAGTCTGCTCCGCCGCTGCCGCGACCCGATTTCTCCCAAATGATTCCATACAAGCCGCGGCCGTGCGCCTATCCAGGTGCCCATCCGCTGGCAGGCGGCGTCTTCCCCCAGCCCCCGGCACTGGCTGCCCTGTGTGCCACTCTGCCGCCGCCGAACTCCTTCCGTGGACCCTTTGTCAGCGTGGAGCTGCTCTTCGACATCTTCATGCGGCTCAATCTGCCCGACTGTAAGGCTTTAGTTTACCTTCATATTGAGATAATTTTAAAATTCGGTATTGCAGCTGCCCCGCAACCGAACGGCGACAATGATCTGTCGCCCAAGATCTTCGACCTGGCCAAGTCGGTGCACTGGATCGTGGACACGAGTACGTATACGGGTGTACAGCACAGTGTCACGGCCATACCACCGCGCCGCAGACGACTCCTGCCCGGCGGCGATGACAGTGACGATGAGCTCCAGACCGCCGCTCCGCCCACCCACGATATCTACCGGCTGCGGCAGTTGAAGCGCTTCGCCAAGTCCAACTAAGACTGCCGTCGGATTCCAAATTCACGTTTTTTTTTAAACTAATGCATTTATAAGAAAATACACGACCGAAAGTTGATGAAACCATTATATTTATGGATATTATTTAAACCTTCTTTATTGATATTTTTATTGGAATATCCTAATATAAGTACAGGTTCTACTCCATCTTTGAAACAAAAAAATAATTTTAAAACCTAAATCTAAGAGTATTGTTATGGTTTTGGAACACAAAAGGCCGGAATGTAGGGTTTTTAGATGTCACCTCTTTCATATTCCAGAAGTGATTCAGTCTCCAGGGTTAGGGATTAGGTCAAGGCCAGTTCGCAGGCTCACTCCTCGATGACCTCGGCGGGCAGGCAGCGCCTCCGGTGCTTGTACAACCCGGCGTACTGGGCGAACCTCTTGCCGCAGGCTGCGCAACCGTAGCGCTTCTCGCTCCGGTGGAGATTGAGGTGGGCGTAGTAGGCACTGCCCACCACAAAGGCCCGGGAGCAGTAGGGACAGACCTTGTCGCGAATGTTCAAGTGGGCCCTCAGGTGCCGATCGCGTTCGTGGGCCGTATAGAAGGCCTTGTCGCATCGGTTGCAGGGGAAGTCCCTCTGGTTGCGATGCCGTTTCACATGCTGGTTCAGCTTGCTGGCATTGACGAAGCCTCGGGCACAGTGCTCGCAGACGTAGGGCAGCTCCTTGGTGTGGCTGCGCTGGTGGACGCGCAGGGACGTGGAGTTGAAGAACTTCTTGGGGCACTCGCCGCAGGCATGGCTCCTCTGGCCCAGGTGGCGCCTCAAATGGGCCATCAGACTGGTGCGGAGGGTGAACTTGAGGCCGCAGATGTGGCAGACGTTGGTCAGGTCCAGGTCCTGATCCTGGTCCTCTTGGAACTTCTTGCCACGCCGGCGCTTCACGTAGCGGAACTCCCCGTCCAGGCTGCGCTCGACGTCCGTGTGCACATTCCTCTCGTGCTGCAGGAAGTCGGTGCGTCTCTTGAAGTTCGCCGGACACCGGGGGCACTGGAAGGGCGCCACATGCAGCTCCAGGAAGCGCAAGGGCTCGTAGAACTCGTAGGTGGGCGTCCAGTCCTCGGACTTCTTCAGAGCCTCCATCCGGGCTTCCTTGCAATGGCGATACTGACACCGGAAGTCTATGAGGCGGCTCTTCAGGCGCTCCACCGTCATCTGGATGTTGCACTCCTCCTGCAAGCGGTTGCACAAGGACTCCAGTTGCCTCTGGCGCTGCCTGCGCTTCGTGTAGTCCGGATGATCCGTGCACCAGAGCTGGGAGTAGCTCTGGTACACCGAGATGATCTTCAGGTTGCTCTCCCTCTGATTCGTGGACTTCTGCAGCTCATTGCTGATGGGCAGGACGTCGTCCAAGAAGCGGAACTCCTCGAACAGGTTCCACTGCTCCTTCAGGGGATCGCCTTCCTTGGGCCCCTCCTGGCTTCTGGTCCTCTCCTTCTTGTAGTACTTTATGAAGTCCATAATCTTGCGGTGCACCTGCTGCCAGTTCAGAGTCTGTCCAGTTTTGGTGTTGAGATCCTCGGTGATCTTCTGCCAGGCCTGGCGACGCTGTTTCCGGGCGTGGTAGTCCAGGTGGTTGGGGTCCCAGAGGCACACCTGGCTCCGATACAGTTCGACCAGGATCTGTGTGTGTTCCGGGCTCATCCGGAGACGGGCTGCCTCGGAAGTGGAGTCCTCTCCCCCCAGAGAGGGACTTCCACCCATGGAAGTGTCCAGCTCACTGGAGACTGCAGCACAGGCTTCCTCCAAAGAAGGTAGATCCTCAGTTGCCTTCGCTTTTTCCGGCTCTTTTTCAGGGTCCTTTTTATCCGGCGAGATGGGATCCTTGGCCTCCTGAAAAGGAACATCCTCCGCGGTCTTGGCATCCTGCTCACAGCCGCTTTGGACGTGAGCCTGATGTCCTGCCAGGTTCTCGAAGATCTTCCCACACACGGCACACACATAGGGATCGATGTGCTTGTTGAGGAACTCCATTTCCCCGTAGTGCTCGAATCCGGACACGAATTCCGCCTGCTTTCCGGCCACCACGCTGTGCAAATAGCTGATCTTCTCCAGGCGATAGCGTTTCCTCAGGGACTGCAGTCTCCTCTGGATGACCACCGGGGACAGACTGATACCGGACAGCCGCAAGGCCAGTTGGAGGCCGCGGAGGGCCTCGTGGCGACGCTTCACCGTCTCCGGACATCTGATCCTCTTGTGGGCGTTGTGCCACAGCACCGGATAGTGCTCGTACAGCTCGAGCAGGCGGCGGTTCTCCCGGACGTAGTGCCTCTGCCGGTTCAGCAGGGACTGCTGTTCGCAGAGAAAGCTCAGCTGGTCGAAGTGGACGAACTTGGCCGCATCGTCCAGCTCTCCTCCGTCCGCCTCGAGGCGCTCCCGCTGCTTGAGGAATCGCTGGCACAGGGTGGACACTCGGATGCGCACGTCTGTCACACTGAAGCTCCTGCCGCAGTAGGCGCTCCAGGACTCGGTGATGCGGCGCCAGGACTCGCGGCACAGCTCCATGTCACGGAACTGGTCGTGGGTCTGGTTCCAGAGCCGAGGTTCCGAGCGGTACAGCTCGATGAGGCGGTGGACGTGCTGGGTGGTGAGGCGTTGGCCTTCAGGAACTGGAGACGATGGCTCCTGGAAGGGCGGTATTTCAAAATATTAAAAAAATTATAAGTGGCTATATTATAATTATAAGTATATAATATTTTGTATATATGTTTCTAAATTAATTTACTGATTCTAACTACTAATTTATTTCTCTAATAATAATAACAATAATATTAATAAATAAGAAAATATGTCAATACTAAGCTGAAGGCCTTCGCTGCCATTGCTTTACCATTGGTGTTAGTATTAATTTTAATTATAACTAACCTTTTAAATAATAATAATAATTTACTGATTAAATAAGGGAATTATTAGTAATACTTGTGAGGATTATACATTTCATCTTAAAACAATTAGCTGCATTACAAAAATATTTATATTTCAATGAAACACAAATGGTTTTAAAAAAAACTGCTCATTTCTAAATTACCTTTTAATAAATATATTTTTTTAGATTTAAAATGTAATTAAATATCAAATATAGCCTTTGTCTTGGCAATCAAGAATTATATTAGTTTTATTTTATTTTTAGAATTTTATTTATCAAAATATTATTTTAATTATCTTAAAAACCAAGACATATTAGAAAGGTTTTAAGATTCGAGACTTTTAGGATCGACTTTCTAAGACAAATATTTAATTTTAAGAATAAAGTTTATTAATTTTAATTTAAAAGAAAAGAAAGCAAGGTTTTTTTTATGTAAACTAAAGAATATTATTTGTAAAACACTATGAAACTGATGAATTCTATGATGAAATAATTAATTAAACTTATTGAAGAAATAGTCATATGTTTTATCGGGAATTCTGATTTAATTTATTTTAATTTAAAGAATGTTAAATTCTTTTTTTTTTATTTACAAACTTTGGAAGTTAAGTTCGTGCATAAAACGTCTAAGTCATTTAAAGATTCAAATTCAAATTCAATATTCAATAAAATTCAAAAAATTCAAAAAATTTCAATAATTTATCATTAGAATATACCTGTATACTTTCTTTCTGTGCATTTTATCTAATAAAAAACACTAATGCTCTTTCATTTTGAATTAAATTTCGATTAAAAAAGTCGTTTTATTATTAATTTAAAAGCAGTTTTAAATACTTGTTTCTACTTCTTGAAATGGTTAATTTTACTGACCTCCAGATTGGTAGTTGAGTCCGGAACATTTTCTGGGGGTTCTCCCGGCGACTCCCTCTCTGCAATTTGGAGTTCCTCGATCAGCTCCTCGTCGTCCGAGAGCAGCTCCTCCTCGCTGGAGTTTAGCTCGAGGACCAGCTGCTGCTTCAGCTCATTGTCCTCGCCGTTGATGCCCTGCTCGGCCAGGACCTCCTGCATGAGCTCGTCCTCGGGCTGGGGAACTGGCGAGGATGCGGCAGGAGCGGCGTCTTCATCGGGAGGCAGCGGAGCCTGCCAGTCCGAGTGCCAGACGTCCATGTGCTCCGGGAATTCGGAGAGGGCGCACAGAGGACGCTCCTCGCACAAGGAGCACTCGATGGCGTACAGTTCCCCGGCACAGTTCCAGGTGTAGACGCTGCCGCACAGCTGACGCATTTTGTGGCTGTCGTTGTTGTTGTTGTCACCTGTGCCCGAGGGTGGTGGAAAAATAATTGTATCTTGTAGATACCTAATTTTAAGGTGTTATCGTTGAAGTCCACTTTTTTCACGGTGTGCGGATGAGCTTACGTTGTGGCGCTTGTTGCGGTTGTGGGCGGTTTTCACTTTTTAAGCTGCTAGCAAAAAGCAAAGAGCAGTCTAGTCGAAAATAACAGCGAAATGGCTAGCTCCGTTCCAGGCCCAGCCAGAGCGGAAAGTAAATCCCCAAGCCAAGAGTGAATTTCGAGCAGCGACTGCGGCTGCGCGGCTGCCTCTAAATGCCTGCCTGCCTGACTTTGTGTTGCGATGACTTTTTCGGTTCGGTTTGGTTCGGTTCGGGTTGAGAAAATGAAAATGCCAGAGGCGTCTCCGTTAAGGCTACATGACACTGCCAGGGGCAGGGGCGGGGGCGGTGGCAGTACAACCGAGGCAGAGCCACCAGAGCCAAGACGGCAGAGCAGGGGCAACAAACTGGCTGCTAACCTGGCACATAAAAACAACATCACGGCTTACACGCAAACACCAGCACACTCTCACATTCAAGCCATTCTTCGTCTTCGGGGCTATTCAAAGTCACTGACTCCATCTCTCTCGCTCTGAAGACACTGACAACAATTCGGGAGCTAATATATTTCTCATAATAAATAACTATAACTTGTTTACAATACTATTCTTGTTTTGCTTTATATACTTTTTTAATTTCTTAGACTAACAGGTTATAACTAACAAAATTTGTCATTAAAAAGTAGACTAAACTATCTTGAAAACTATTACTTTGATTAACATAAAAATAAATAATAGATGAAATAATTATTATATGGAAATATATATTTAAACTTGAATTATCCAATAAAAAGGGAAAAATTTGGCTTAAATTGAATCCATTTTTTTAATTATGTATTTCATTTAAATTGACTATTTTTATATATGTAAATATTAAGATCTTAACTTTATCTTAAAGGGCCTTCTTATTAAGGGTATTACTTTAAAGCAAAAGACAAAGATTAAGCAATATAGATTCATTAACAATACAAAATAATACAAATTTAATCAGTGAATTACTACGGTCCTAAAATTATTTTATATAACTGTTCTGATATATTATTTATTACTTATAAATACTTATATTATTTATACGTAAGTTATATATATAACTTATGTTATATTTTGTGTTTTAAAGTGTATTACTTCATAGTTTTTCTAGATTGTTTCGTACTGTCTTTATTTTAGGAATATTTCGGACTAAGAAGTCCTTATTTAATATATTCTTTCTTAGTTCCCATTTTTTAAAGTGTACTCTGTCTTTGCAACTGTCTCTATTTCCGTCTCTCTTGCTTGGTTTTCACCTCCGCACGTCAGGTAGTCTTGTGTGTGAGCGTGTGTGGGAAAAGAGTAAGTGTATTTGTTTTATTGTCGTTGGGCGCCCAACAGGTAAAAACAAGGACGTGCCCAAGGGGGTTAAGGAGTATTAAAAGAGTAGTTCAAACTACTGCTAAAGAACATAAATATCTTGAAATTAAACTATAAAATAAAATATCTCCCCATTATTTATTCGTTATAAACAATTTCATTATACGCCCATGAATCTCTTTAATACCCAGTGGTTGTCACCTGAAAAGTGGCCAACAAACAATAGATCCCATAACCATTTGATTTGTTTTGCTCAGTCATGGAGAATGCTTTTGTGCAAAAAAAAAAAATCAGTTACTTCACACGCTGGCCGCGATTATGAACAATGCGGGAGTTACTTTTGAAAAGGTTTGAATACTCCGAATACTCAATTCAATTAGATCTGCCCCAGCACAAATGATCCATAGTTGGGTAATGGGATTTAGTTAAGGCAATTAAATATTCGGAAACGCTCGACGAAATTAGGAATTCATCATGTTTGCTGGCTAATATTTGCTAATCAGATAACAAATTACTTTGTCGGGGAAATGTTTACAAACAACTTTCTCCGGGAAAATAACAGGTTAGACATTGTCGTGCCTGCAAGGGGGGTTAATGGGGGGTTAATAAATACATAATAATGTATGTCGATGTACTATATCTTAAAAAGTTATTTCCTTATAGAAAAACAAATTTAAAAAATCTGATCTTTTGAAATGAGGTAAAACGAAATTGTTAAAAAGTGGTTCAATATAAAGTTAAATTACTTAGGGTTTTCAATTAATTTAACTTACTATATGTTTGATTTTTTTAAAAATTGTATATTTTTTATAAAACTTATTTTAAATATTAATCAACAATACTTTTTAAAAATACATATATTTCCAGCATAATCTTAAACTAAGTTCAAAAGACAAAGACAAAAAAAATGGGCTTACATTTCTCTAAATAAATGGTTTATGAGTTATACGATAATATTATGAAGTTAAGAAATATAGAAGAAATAGAAACTATGAAGAATAATAGTAAAGAAACATATAAAATTCATGTAAATGATTATAAAAAAATTTGGCTAACAAAAAACTAGAGATGGACTATTTAAAAGAAGCTGTAGTGTGCCCAGCTGGCTTAATAAAAGGAATACCGCCGCGTTATTGCAATGCAGTCGGTAATTTCCGGCGAACCGGATACAGTGAAGCTCGCGACCTGGAGAACATAAAACATAAACAAATAATAAAGCGAGAAACGCGAAACCACACCAACGCCATGGGTTTTCCGCGCATCCTCAGCAAGAATAACAAGATCTACACAAAGCTGGGTGATTTCTGCTTATCGGGGGACAGTTTCTGGATCGTTTGTCACACGTGCCAGGAGGAGCTCCAGACGCAGGATCAGTTCTGGAAGCACATCCAGGACGAACACAACTTCCTGCATGGCGTTGCAAAGGTATTTCCGTGTCTATCCCTGCCAGTCGTATCATTCATTGTTGATTTTTGATTGCAGCAGGAACACAGTAGAACCTCTAGCTATTGTTTGACGGATGTGGAGGCGGCGGCGACAGCTGGGACACCAGGACCTCCCGGTTCCCAGAGCAGCGTCACAGCGGTCGCAGTTCCACTCGCCTCGTACCATTGTGCCACCAAATACTTTGAGGACGAGCAGCGCGAGGCGGACTTGCAGCAGCACCTCCAGCAACAACAGCAGCAACAACAGCAGCAGCAGCAGCAACAGCAACAGCAGCAGCAGCAACAACAACAGCAGCAGCAGCAACAGCAACGAGATGCAGCAAAGGAAATGGCCGAACTTCATGCGAATGCTGTAGCAGCAGTGGCCTCTGCTGCCGCCGCAGCGGGCGAGGGAAGCTCTCGAAGTAATAGTGGCATTGATATCAAAATCGAACCCGCCAGCCTAACCCTGCCGCCCGAAATGCAAGCTGCCGCTGCTGCCGGAACCATATACCACCTACCCCAGTTAGTGCCGGCGCCTGTGCCGCCGCCGCCGCCAACGCCGGGATTTGCCAGTGCCAGTAGCTCCACCACCGTCAGTACAACACCGCCAGGAGTGCTCCAGCAACAGCAACAGCAGCAGCAACAACAGCAGCAGCAGCAACAAACGGCAGGGAGTATGCCAAATCTGAGTCTATCCGTTGCCCCAACCACGCCACTGGCAGCTGCCATGATGGGTGCCAGTCATGAGCTGCCTAAGGATTCCAATAGTACAACAGCCAGTGCCGGCAGTGCCGTATCCTCCGACGACGGAGAGCGTTGGTATGTCTGCGACTATGAGACGTGTGGCCTGAAGTTCAAGTACAAGTCCCGTATGGAGCTGCATCGGGTGGTGCATAGCAAGGAGCGGCGCTTTAATTGCGAACTGTGCAGTGCCTCGTTCAAGCAGTCGTGCAACTTATCCACGCACCGAAAGAAGAAGCACGCGCTGAGGGGCATCAAGAGTGATATACTGCCGCAGCGTTTTTAGTCGGTGGCGGGCTGCCGTCTCTTCGTGCCCGTTCCGCGTTCCCAGGCCACCCCCATGCCTCTCACTTGTTCAGCTCACTCACTTCTAGGTTTGGCATCTAGACCGTAGCTTTTTCTCTACCACATTTTTAATCTTTAGCCTTCCCCCAACACCCAAAGCCCCTTCAGCAATGTCGTCTAAACAATACATACCGCTGGCCAGCCAAGGCATTTCCTAGGATCATTGAGGGGTTCCACTCTTGGACTGTCTTTCCTCTTCAACCAGTCGCTCTCCCTGCAGATCCTTGGCTAGCCAGCGATATCCCTCTATATATATATATATATATATATATATAAATATAATTAGTTGTATCTAATTTAGGCCTAGTTAACGCCCTGTAAATGTAATGGTATCTTTTAAGCGAGGTTACGTTAACCTCTCAATTAACTTTACGCTCTAGGTGTACATGCAATATTTTATATAATCGCTAAGTTAATGCAGTTACAGTTAGAACAGATTAATCTTTAAGCCAACAGTTGCAGAAACCGCAGACCGTTAGTCAGTTGCGTTGTTCATCCAGTTAGTTACCCAAATTTACAAAATAGTGCCGATCGATCGGATCAATCAATCAAAAGCAACATGAGTAAGTCATCAATGAGTTCAATCCAATCCAATCCCATCCAATACCATCAATTCAACAATTGAAAACGAATATATATAAAATCATAAAAAAAAACGAGACTCTTTTACCATCACAGGGCGCCATCTATTGCTGGTGTGATAGAAAAGTTTGGGAGCTTATGGAAAATCATTTTTGTGGTCTATAAACCAAAAGAAAAGTGTTCTACTTCAGAAATAAGTCCTTAAAGCTTGAGGTACTTTTAAAAAGGTTTTAAAAAAGCTTGAAAGCATTATATGAGCAAATTTTCAAGTTCTACTCATTTTGTGCTTTGCTTTAAAGATTCGAGCTCTACTCATTCTAAGCTTGAGTTTTGCTAAAGCTCCTTGGAACTTTCCACTCAATTTTTAGCACATCCTTGAGTGTGTTTACAGAGGATATTATGTTAGACAAAAGTTCAAAGGTATTTTCGGAGTTGTTGGTTCGAGACATGGCTAACAGCCTAGTCACTTTCAAGTGTTGAAAAGCGTTACTTTTCTAACGGTTTTCGGTTGGAGGATGTGATTCTGAGGAAGTATTTATTAAAAAGATATTTTAATGCTTATAAAATAGCTGTTATTGTCTATTCTAAATCTGAATCTGATTTAATTTTAGTAAAATAAATATTTCTTACTCATGTTTGAACTCTTCCTTGCATTCATTGTATGTCGTTATGATCGTTATGAAATTTGGTAGGTCGTATTATTTTGCCAAAAATAGCTCGGTCGACTATATCCTATAGCTGCCATATAACTGAACGATCGGAAATGACCCAACTTTCGTGTTTTTAAAAATAGAAAGCTGGAATTTAATACAGATTCTATTTTTGGTCAGTTGATCCAACCTACCAAATTTCATAAGGATCGGCCGACTATATCCTACAGCTGCCATATAACTGATTGATCGGAAATGGTTTTTGGTAGAAATACCAACATAGGAATTCTATATCTATATCTATAAGTTTGTTACGTTTTTTTAGATTTTGTATTATAATAAATTGGGTTATATTATCATATTCTCATAAGGATCGGCCAACTATATCCGATGTTTGCGATATATATGCGGTTGTAACTGCAAGGGTATATCAACTTCGGCTCCGCCCGAAGTTAGCTTTCTTGTTTTATTTTTTTTCCCCCAATACTCTGTCAAAGAGTATTCTTATTTTGGTTTAAGGAATGTATCTTATTCATGTGTGTGGATAAATATCGGGGGGTATTAGAATATTGGTCGAAAATGCGCAACCCAGACATCTCCGACTCCTTAATGAACATATATAACCATATACTATCCAACAATTCAAACTATATCCTATATTCGCGATATATATCAGACCTGTATGGCAAGGGTATGTACATTGTACATATTTCAGATTCGCCTACAACCTCCAAGGGGTTTTTGCACATATTTCGAAAACGATAAGGTGAAATGAATCAAATGTTTTTTGATAATGTTAAACCTATTAATGTTAAATCCTATAGCTGCCATATAACTGAACGATCGGAAATGACCCAACTTTCGTGTTTTTAAAAATAGAAAGCTGGAATTTAATACAGATTCTATTTTTGGAAACAATTTATTAAACACAATTGTTAAACATAATTTAAACACATTTTGAAAGTATGAATCTTTTTTATTTTAACTTTTTTCTGCATTTGAAAGCGTACAAATGTCCCGTGCGACATTATGGAATTGCCCATATTGCTGTGTCCAGAAATATTACTATCAGTAAATACTTAAATTTATTGTTTCAAAATTCCCAAAAAGTTTCTAAGCCATACTCATGCTGAGCCCATCTTCCGTCTCTCTTAAAAGATAAGGAGACTGTCTACATTGAATATTGAAGCTTCGCGAAATCTGAGTTTTTCTCTGGGTATACATATATAACACCGAAAGTCGTGCATTTCGAAAACAATAGTAAATCTTCTCTCGTCAGGGAAGCACCAGTCAGCTCCTCGCCAGTGGATTAATCCTTCTTGATCAATCATGGGAAAGGATCCTTCTGCCGTCGTTTTGGCAACGGCACTTGCATTTTGTGCCTTTTGTCCTTTCTTTGCCAGGTGCGATGAGATCGACCTTGATATCAAAAAAGGAATAGAAAGTTTGTCGAAAATCCTGGTGAAATATCAAGCCGAGTTCGACAGGAAGGTGAAGTTTGCGCAGCTGCAGGAGGCCGTCGATGGGATTGATAAAGCCATGTTGGGATACAAGGGCAAAGCCAAGGTCAAGCTGCCTTTGATTCGCTCTTTAAACTCCGAAGCCCGTCTCACCTACAAAAACTGTGTGGACCCAGTCTTCGAGTGGTGCATTTCCGTCAACGGCACCTTCAATATCTTCATCGATAAAATTGGGGACTGCAACCTGTCGGAAACGAATAGGAATATAATCTGGAGCTTGACAGCTTCAACTCTAAAATCGGGCCTCGAAAAAACCGGAAAATCTTTGGATCTCCTCACCAAAGTCCAATTCAGAACTGCTCAGCTCAAAAATGCGTTTCGAGAGATGTTGCATGATGTCCACGACGATTTCGGTCCAGAGGGCTTATATGGCAAACAAAAGGCGGAACTGAAGGAGAGGATCGAAAACAATGCGGTGTTAGTGAAGACAGGAATTGCCTTATTCGTTGGCGCCTTGTTTAGTGCGATCGGTGCCCTGGTTTTTGGACCGATTGGTGCTGCACTGGGCTTGATCGCCGCCTTTGCCGCGTTTGGTATCACCGAAATAGTTCATTGGAATCAAAAGAAAAGCTACGAGGAGCAAATAAAGATTATTGATCATTTCTTCACGGAGCTGACGCAAAGGATTGAGAATGCCACCGAAATAGTGAAAGATATGGAGAGTAACCTGGAGGAGGACAGAAACAACCTTCTCAAGCTCCGAGGACATATTGGAGGTGCCGATATGGTACGTTTTCCCCCAAAGACTCATACTTTTCAATCCTTTATTTTTTTATATTTTTCTTTATTTTAGAACAAAGAGATGTTGTTGTCTGACATGGCTTCTCTGCGAGTCACATTTATTCCGGACATCAAGGATTTAAAGGATAGCTGCGCCAAGTACGTGTACTGGCACGGAATCGATGCTCCCTTTTATCAGAAGATCAGTACCAGAACTCGTCGTGCAGCCTCCACATTCTGCGAAAGCCAACGAGCAACTGCAAAACAAATGTTAGCCGAGTCAGGGTCTTCGAACTCCACACAATCTCAGGAATTGGGTCGCATCATTGACCAAATGGATTGTGGTGGCTTTGTTCCTCCATATTCCGTGGAGCTCCATGGATTCCAAAAGTGGCGTGCATAGAGATGATATTTCCGAAAATCCGCTTAATTGCAATGCAATTCAATGCTATAGGTTGGAATGTATCAACAATACGATGAATAAAGGTCAAACAAGTTACTTTTTTACGACCAAAAACTATAACCTTTTATAATTATTTTTATAAGTATTATGATTTTGGTCAAAGGTGTGCAACGCAGTGAAGGAGACATCTCCGACCCTATATGTATATTCATGATCAGAGTTCAAAGAGTTAAAATATCAAAGAGCTCATTTAAAAGATGATGTGATACTTGATCGGAAAGGGGGCAAAAGTACGAAGATTCCCTTAGAAACATTGAAATTAATAAGTCCCAGTCAAAAAGGGTAAAGAATGTTATCAGCGACTACGTTATGGACAAAAGTCAAAGCTGCCAGTGTACTTAAGGGGGGACATCTGAGTAGAGTTTTGAGAAAATCAAAAATATTTTTTTTCGCTTTAAAAATTCTTTAGAGTTTTAAAAATGACTTATCAAAAGATAGAGTCCGGCAAAAGTGTCGAAATGTTACATTCTACGGCGATGCCTCACAGGAATATCCCACTGTACTTAAAACTCTAAACGCGTTTTTCTCGAAAACGTTTTTTGAGAGTTGGCCGGACACATAACTCGAACAACTCTTAACCTAACGATCTAAAATTTTGACACTATTTTTTTTTTCTATTGCTTACTTTTTTTTTATCAACAATTTTGTGACATTTTTTGTTCGTGAAAATTGAAAATTTTTTTCAATCACTCACCATTTTGCAAAAAATTAATATATCAAAAAAATCCTACGTGTGTCGATAGCCGTTGATGTACAGAAACTGACCAATTTTGATTTTTTGTTCTTGATCAAAAATTAAGGATGTTAGCTGTTCGGCCATGGACCCCCTTTAAAAAAATAGGCCCTACGAATAAAGGCTGCAGAGCCGCCATTTTGTTTTCGATTTATTTAAAAATTTAAAATTTTTAAAATAAAATTAATTTTTACTTTAAATATAATATAATAAAACCTCTTTAACAAATTTTCGATTGGCTTTTTCATTTGGCTAAAAAAAAATCCAGAAAATTCGCTTTTGTTTCGCCTGTTAATCAGATGTCCCCCCTTAAAGAAACGTACAGCTCCCCTCTCGGGGCTTCCCTTTATCTCGGGGTGATCTTTATAAGTCGTTTCTAATGCTTATCCCTTCTATTTTTAAAGTTTTTTAAACCTTTTGTATACCAGGGAAGCCCATAGGTTCTTTGTATCAATAATATTAAAAATGGCAACCAAGAATTTAGTATAACAAATATCG